TGCTTTGTGGGTGACTTCCTCGTCGCAAACCGAGGCTCCATCCGCAAGGAGGTGGGTAGATGGGATTTTAGAACGATTCTTGGACAGTACCCCCCCCAAAAAAAAATTAGCCTGGAGCTGGTCGTCTGATAGGAGCCGTGAACGGGTTGCAAAAGAGCAGGGTAGAAAAAGGATGCGATGCAGCTTGAAAGCAGCGAAGACTGAGAGTGAACGGCTCAGACACGGTTTCGGATACTGGAAAATCTCTCTCCTCCCTTCTCAGTGCATCATGCGCATTCTGACATGTTCTGTTTTGCCAAAAGGAGCTGCGGTGGCTCATGAGGTTAAGACGCTGAACTGCAGGCTGCGGAAGGTCGGAAGTTCAGCAGTTCGAGACCCGGGTGCCGCAAGACGGAGTGAGCTCCCGTCTCTAGTTCCAGCTCCTGCCAACCTAGCAGTTCGAAAGCAAGAAATTGCAACTAGATAAATAGGTACCACTTCGGCAGGAAGGTGTTCCGTGCGCCTTGGTGTTTAGTCATGCCGGCCACATGACCCCGGAAACGTCTTCGGACAGCGCTGGCTCTTCGGCTTTGAAACGGAGATGAGCACCGCAACCCTAGAGTCGGATTCGACTGGCTTTCGAGCAAGGGAACCTTCACCTTTACCTTTAGACGGCCTGATCTCTCTCTCTCTCCAGTCTTGGAGACTGATAGTATCAATATTACTATGTTTGTATTGCTTTATTTACATCCAAAACTGGTTTCTAGAGCAACATAACAAAATGAGAAGTAAGGTGTACTATTAAACGTAGGTGGGGATCTGGTGGTGGAGAGCCTGTGGCGTGGTGCATGGTTTACGCCCCGAAGGCCTAAGCCCTGCCCTCTCCAGCTAACTGGATGTGAAAGACATCTGCCTGAACTGGTGGACCACCAATTGTAAGACACAGTAGAGGATTAGAGGGATCAGTGCCCTTGTTGTCCGGATTAGTCCAATATTTAATTGATTGGGGAATTTGGCTTAGCCAGAGGGGGTAACTCAGGATCATCACCTTTGTATACCAGAATCCTTCCCAGAGCACTCTCAGGTAAGCCAGGCTGATGTTCCACTCGTAGTGTTTTATTGAAGACTAACGGGGAATAACATTCGCACTCAAAACCACACTGTATAAACGCACAAACAAGGGTTAACCAAGAAATAAAGGAGGTGGCAGGAAGCAGTTTAGGGTAGGCTATAATTACCTATCCTGAAGTTTCAGGCCCGTAGAAGAGAAGAGCCTTGGTGCGTGGCTGATAGAACACACACATACTCTAAACGGGCAGTGTGCCTATATTTATATACAAAAATTATATCTAAGGGTTTGCTGATGTGTTTTCATCAAAAGAACAAGTAGAGTTGATGTATTTACAGGAAGGTTTCTCAAGAACTTGGACAAATGGTTTATAGTTTGTCTGAAGGGAGATCAAAGTATGGAGTGGATCTTTAGCCCTCGTGGAGCTATGATGTGGCTGTTGATGTGCTTTAATGACCCCAAATTCAGGTAGAATGACACTTCCCAGGTGCTATGATGAGGATACTAAGAAGGATGTAGATGCCAAAGAAGGAAGCATGGTTGGGGATGAAAGAACTGTATTCAAAATAAATCAGAAGCAAACGGTAGGAGAGATGGGTGGGAATGGCTTCAGCACGGCTCCAGCCCTGGAGATGGCATAGGCTGGAACATGGGCTTAGAACCCTGAAGACAATTGGAGGGTGAGTTCAGGACCTCCTGTCCAGGAATTGGCAATGCTGGCAGGCAGGGACCTTTGGTAGCAGGGTGATACTATCAAACCAGGAAGTGCTCTGAGAAGGAGCAGGTGGGTTACGGCATGCTTGCTCCAGGGAGGTGGCACCAATGGACAGTAGGCATGGCTGGAGTCTGCAGGCTGTGAAACCAGACGTTGGAGTGCCTGCAGAATAGGGAGGACCTGGAACAGGTTATAGTCAGCCTGCACAGGCGAGGCTGCAAGGTTTGATGGAGGGGATCTCAGAAGGACAGTGAATCAGCTGAGCTGAGTCTGGTCTGTGAATTTGGGGGTCTTGCTCTTGCAAAGCCTGCTGGCCATTAGGCAGTACAAAATGTGGACAAAGATTTGTAGAGATGACTAAAACGAAACACTTTTGTAAAAAAATGCGATCTGACTACGAAATTCTGTTCACAAAAAATGGGTTGCTGACTTTGGTCACTGTAACTTTTAGGGTGATTGAAGAAGTGGAGGGGCCTGGAAAAACCTGGGGTTTTGCCTCTCAAAGATACAGTTAAGGACTAGGAAAAGCAAGAGTTGGGGGGGAAAGCTAAAAGTACCTGAAAAGCAAGCATTATAATCAATGCTCCCTCTAAGCTGTGGAGTCTTGTGAGCGAAAATTCTGCTTTGTGAGCTACTGGCATTAAAGTTGTGAGCAAGCGATTTGGCTGCTACATAAGTTAGTTTGCTCTGGAGCCCCTCCTTCCTGAGATAAGGCAAACATGTGTGAGCCAGAGGCTAAAAAACTGTGCGCTAGCTCACACCTTAGAGGGAACACTGATTATGACAATAGAGTGCAACATGATGGGCTGTCTGATTCTATTAGGATCTGAGATGCAGGGGGAAAAATAGTTTTGTTGGCATGTTGTGGGAATGTGACTCCAATGTCAGAAAAACCTGGATACAAAGAGGAAGCTGGTAGAATTCAGGCTGTGAGGCCTGAGTATGTAAATTCGATATCTGTGAAACTTTTAAAATTTCCAAACACAAAAGTAAATTACAAAAGCAGGTTAAAAAGGTTATTTTCTGTGAATAAGTGTGCTCTAGTCCAGTAAAACTGCTGCTGGAATAAAATGTGTTCGTGTTCTAAGGTGTCACAGTAAAGGTAAAGGTTTCCCTTGCTTGAAAGCCAGTCGAATCCAACTCTAGGGTTGCGGTGCTCATCTCCGTTTCCAAGCTGAAGAGCTAGCGCTGTCTGAAGACATTTCAATGGTCATGTGGCCGGCATGACTAGATGCCGAGGCGCACGGAACGCTGTTACCTTCCCACCGAAGCGGTACCTATTTATCTACTTGCAATTTCTTGCTTTTGAACTGCTAGGTTGGCAAGAGCTGGGGACAGAGACGGGAGCTCACGCCGTCTTGCGGCACTCGGGTCTTGAACTGCTGAACTACCGACCTTCTGGTCTGCTGCTCAGCGTCTTAACCACTTGAGCCACCACAGCCCCTAAGGTGTCACAAGCCTCTGTTTATTTTGAAGAGAGTTGTCTTCCTTTGGCTTCATTCAGTGATAGTTTCCTTCATTGCTATGCAGCCTCTCCAGTATCTTTCTTGTTTCAGTGTTCTGAGTTTTTGGGGCCTTGTTTTATTCTGATAAAATATTGTTCCTTGGAGTGGATGAGCTTTCCCCCTGGGTATGTGATCTGTGCGGGATTGTCAACAATTCTGTGTTTTCCTACCGAGGCTATGTCTTCCCCTTTCATCAGCTAGAAACTGAGACTCCCACAGGGAGGCAGTTTGCATCCATGGAGAAGTGATAGGCAGTTAGTTGAGCCAGGTAAGATTTAAAGTGGAAGCACACTGCAGATATTGTCACCATCTTAGAAGGCGAATGGCAGTTTGAGTACAAATGTGGTGTTTCAGAACAGCAATGGTACTGATATTATTTTCCAAGATATATATTTTGCTTAGATTCTGTTCTGTATTATGTGTTGACAAGGACTTCGGGTTGAGAATAACAGAGATGTAGTGTAGCGTATCCTAAAATTGCTCCCTGCTCATGTTGAGTTGGTAGTATTTGTGTTAAGGACTATGTTGGCACATGGCTTTAGTCAATGATCTCTATCTGAATGTTGACAAGAGCTGTGCCTTCTTGTAGCTCTGACTGGATTTTTCTGCAGCACTTGGTCCTGTGGACCATTGTTGGAGTTTCAAGTTGCTACACTTCAGTCATTACAGAGTTAAGTGTTGTTTGTCAGGAAACAGGATGTTGCGTTAGGGAGCTGTAGCTTTTGTATTGGTTAACCAACAACTTGTTTGTGGAAATGCTTTGATCTAGCATTAATGTATTCACAAGGTTTTATGGCCCTTTGTGTGAGGCACCGGAAGCGCTCTCTTGAAGCCGCTGGGTAGATAGGAAAGTTGAGCTGAAAGTAACTGTAAGCATGTAATCTTGTGTTTTATTTCTTTTTATCCAAAGTACCCTACCCATGATTTGTTTTGTAGTAAAGATATTTTCTTTTAACTAATGTGACTCTTGTGTTTGCAAAACGACCATCGATCTCGAATCTCAGAATCCCTAACAACCATGCCATCGAGGAGATCATACTTTGGATTGGTTTAAATCTTTCTTTATGGAGCAGACATATCCTGTGGGGCTCCACAAAGTCCAGTCTTATTTCACATGCTAGTTAATATCTATGTAAAGCCCTTTTAGATGTGA